CACTGAAAAGAAATCCAAGTCAGTATGTTTCTCTACTGTGTACCATTTCACATCTAACAAGTCTGAATGGATTTGTCTACATCTCAACCACTGAATTGTGCAGAAATGTTCAGAAATTAGTGAATTCACTTGAAGCTGATTATTTCCAGGAGAACGGTTTATACAACATATTTTAATTTGATTCTAAATTGGTGCTTAAGTTGCTTTTTCAGCATCTGCACATGATTTCTAAAAACAAAATATTCATAAATCACGGACCCTAATACCTGCAGCCCCCTCAGCCTGCAGTTTATATGTCAGGCTGTAAACTTACATTAACCTATGCATATTTTTCACATCATTTCCTTTTTATAAATCACTACTTAAATGTGAATTTTCACATCCGATCATGTTAAAATCAAATCTGTGCTTACAAACATTTTATAAGTAAGGTCCTCTGCCTTTCTTGCCAAACAAAACCCGGAGCATTTGTTAAGGCTTCAGGCATGAACGATGAATGTAGTGCGCCAGACTTTTCTCATTTAAAACTTAAGACAACTTAACAAAAACGATTTAAATTTCGTGATTTGAAAACTGCACTCTTTCAAATTGAGATTGACATTTACTACAATTCTCCCGTTATCGGCCGCACATATAAAAACTTATCAGACACATGTAGATTCATGGGTCATTCTGGATAGTAAATAAAATGGCTGTATTTCTGTTGTAGATATTGTGACCCCTGGTTCCTATCAGGTCCACTGAAAAGAAATCCAAGTCAGTACGCTTCTCTACCGTCCACTATTTCACATCCAACAAGTCTGAATGAATTCGTCAACATCTCAACTCAACCGAACTGTGAAGAAATGTTCAAAAACCTTATTTGTCAGACAAACTTCAGTTTCATTCTAACTTGGATCTTATAATGTGTGGCATTTTTAATATCTGCGTCTGACTGATTTCTAAAAACAAGGTATTCATACATCACGGACCCTAATACCTGTAGCCCCTTCAACCTGCAGTTTATATGTCATTCTGTAAACGTACATTAACCTACGCATATTTTCTCGTCATTTACTTTTTGTAAATCACTACTTAAACATGAATTTTCACATCCGATCATGTGAAGATCAAATCTGTGCTTACAAACATTTCAATGTATGAGGTCCTCTGCCTTTCTTGCCAAACAGACCAGAGTATTTTTGGGCTTCAGGCATGAACGATGAATACAGTGTGCCAGATTTGAAGTTCGTAAACTATGTGTTATTAAATGTTTTATTAAATCCCATTTAAAACTTGAGACAACTTAACAAAAACGATTAAAAGAGCAGATTTCGTTATCTGAAAACTCTTTTAAATTGAGATTTCGACATTTACTACTATTCTCCCGTTACTGACCACACGTATAAAAACTCTAGAGACACATGTAGATTCATGGGTCATTCTGGATAGTAAATAAAATGGCTGTATTTCTGTTGTAGACATTGAGACCACTGGTTTCTGTCACCCACACTGAAAAGAAATCCAAGTCAGTACGTTTCTCTACCGTCCACTGTTTCACATCTAACAAGTCTGAATGAATTCGTCTACATCTCAACCACTGAATTGTGAAAAAAATGATCAAAAAACCTTATTTGTCAGACAAACTTCAGTTTCATTCTAAATTGTTTCTTACGATAAGCTGTGGTTTTAGCATCTGCGTCTGACTGATTTCTACAAACAAGGTATTCATAAATCATGGACCCTAATACCTGTAGCCCCCTCAGCCTGCAGTTTGTATGTCAGGCTGTAAATGTATGTTAAGCTACGCATATTTTCACAATGTTTACTTTTTATAAATCACTACTTAAACATGAATTTTCACATCCGATCATGTTAAAATCAAATCTGTGCTAACAAACATTTTATAAGTGAGGTCCTCTGCCTTTCTTGCCCAAAAAAACAGGAGCATGAATGTAGTGTGCCAGATTTAAAGTTATTATAAAGTGTTATTAAATTTTCCCATTTAAAACTTGAGACAACTTAACAAAAATGATTAAAATAGCAGATTTAGCCCCTCAGACTGCAGTTTATATGTCATTCTGTAAACTTACATTAACTTACGCGTATTTTCACGTCATTTACTTTTTGTAAATCACTACTTAAATGTGAATTTTCACATCTGATCATGTTAAAATCAAATCTGTGCTTACAAATGTTTTATAAGTGAGGTTCTGGGCCAGAACATTTCCAGGCTCCAGGGATGAACAATGAACGCAGTGTGACTTAAACTTCACAAGCTATGAATTATTAGGATAATTTTTTTCCATTTAAAACTTAAGACAACTTAACAAAAATGATTTAAAAAAAACTAACTGCATGATTTTAAAAATTGCGCTATTTCAAATTTAGATTTCAAAATAAAGCTGATTAAACATTCAGCTGTCATGGTCTGTAAAAGAGTGATATGTGTGCGCATTTCATCGCTGGCTTCTGCTCAAGTGACCGTACACCCTGAACTTAACACACACTAGGCCTTCTATTTAGTAGAGATCTTCTCAAATACAATATGATAAACACTGTCAGGAGGACCCAGAAGCACCGGACAGACACTGGCTCATAGTCCCATCGCTCAAATGCTTCCTCCTGTTAGCGTTGACCGTAACCCGTGATATTCCACTCCACGCCAAAGTGAAACTGCCCTGGATTCAGGTGTCACTGCAGTCTTCATAATGGCTTCAGAGACTGTCGCTTCTAGATGCATATCATCTAACGCGAACCTAACATTAAACCTTAAGCTATACTTAAGTCAAACGGCACACCTGACACTACAAAATTGCTGTTTACACACCTGCAGCTGTGGCAATTAACTCTCAAATCAATTAATTTCATCGCTGCTGCAGTATATCCTTCAGCATATGTTTTGTTCAGAACGTCTGCTGAGTATTCTTTGTTGATTCAAGACATCTCAGACATTAATATAAGTTATGGGTTATTTTTAGCATTGAAAAGTCACATCATGCAGAAAATTAACCCAACCCTTAATCATTATTGAGAATATAAGTTACATTCCCAGACAGAGACAGTAGAGACAGAAACGAGACGTCTACAGAGTTTCATGCCTCTAAAAGCTACATCTTGTAAAATTACCCAATGAAATGCTTACAAATACACTGCCTGATTACAGACAGTTTGTTTTATGACAGTTTAGATAATATTCTGATGTTAAATGTCTTTATATACACTCATGGTGGAGAGGTACATGCATTGTTTTTAGTCTCTAAAAAAACATTTTTACATTTACTACAATTCTCCCATTATCGACTCCACATATAAAACTCTAGAGACACATGTAGATTCATGGTTTATTTTGGATAGTAAATATAATGGCTGTATTTCTGTTGTAGACATTGCGACCCCTGGTTTCTGTCACCTCCACTGAAAAGAAATCCAAGTCAGTACGTTTCTCTACCGTCCACTGTTTCACATCTAACAAGTCTGAACGACTTTGTCCACATCTCAACCACTGAATTGTGCAGAAATGACCAAAAAATGGTAAATTCACTTGAATTTGATTATTTCCAGGAGCCCCATGTATAAGACATACTTTCGTTTCATTCTAAATTGGTTCTTAAGGACCAATTTGTGGTGGGAGTTGGAGTGGGATACATTCCCATTTCCCAAAAAGAATTCTAACCTGATAAATCATAGAATAGTTGTTTTCATGTCGAGAAAAAGGTAATCATTCTGTTTTAGGGCATCTATGAATCATTTTTTTTAACTACACTGCCAAACATTTGAGCTGGAAAATTATGATCGAGCCCTTCATGTTCCAGTATTCAGGCATTTTAGGTTAAGATGTTCACGCCGAAGTTCCTTTATTTATCTCAAGTTTAAAAATATGGAAAAGTTACAGTCATGAATTCTGTTGTAGAAAAGCTCAGAAAATCACACGTCATGGTCTAAAAAATTAACACTGACGATACATTTGATTTTTATAATGATACACCGATATATGAAATTTAAAAACAGAGAAAACGATGAATGGCAAGTGAGATCTTGGGATCTTTATCCCATCATTTATGAAAGTTCATAAGCCTTTTATTAGCATGTTACGTCAAAATACGTGATAAAATAAAATGCACGTCTGTTAAGCTAACAACGGAAATGCACAAAGAAATTTTGGGGATGAGAGTAATCCTGATATCACCAAACTCTCGACCAGAAATATTAATCTGAAACGCCTAATTTCACGAGTTTTCACCGTCTTCGCCTTGTAGCCTGTACGTATACGCTCAAGCGCAAAAGTTTGCACACCCAGTAAAATTACACATTTTGTTTTACTTTTTTGGTTGAAGTGATATTTGAAATTTGAAAATTGAAAAGTGAAAAGTTGTAGCATCTTCTACAGGGAACAAACTTAAACATGGCATTTTTTCTGCAAGTTTTACTTCTCGTATTTTACATACTAGAAAAAATTCAAACATAAAATATAAAGTGTACCAAAACTATTGCACAGGCCACATTTTACGTTTTACTTTTTTTTCCTTACTTTAAATTCTTACTTATTAACAAAATTAACAAAATGTAATCTGGCGAGCGGTAACCAAACTTTTGCACATGACTGTATTTTGATTACCTATAGGATCAGTGAATTATAAGTAATCTAGCACAATCGCCATCTAGTTTAATCTCACTGTAAACTATGAAACTATGAAATATGACAAAAACAAGACCCTTCATTCATTTATTAAACTTCTGTGACGCTGTCTAGATCCATGTGTTTAGTAGACGATGACTGATAATAATGAACCGGCATCGCCGTGCAGGTTAAGTGACACTATGAAGAGAAGGCAATGTGTGGACATAGAGGAGGGATGACTGGGTCTGCACCAGGCAGGGTTCAAAACAGTGATGTAATGAGAGTGATAAGGTCTATAGAGCCTATGTTGTCTATGAGTAAAGAACAAAAAGAACATCTCCACACAAACATACATAAGGCTTGAAAACCAAAACATGCCATGAGCTGAAAGTGTACTTACTGATCACAGAATATGGAAATGCTGTGTTTGAGAGATGAAGATGGATCTGTCAGTCAGGCTGTTTCATGCGATGGTGATGACCTATAAAATACAAAAACACTGCGTCCTCAGTGCTGAAGCACAAGCCCAGACCACAGCAGCCTAATGCACCACATAACACTGCCTAAGCACCATCTCGTCGGCCAGCGACATTTTTGAAACGGACATTTCGCCTCGGCGTGTGTGTGTGTGTGAGTGTGTGTGTGTGTGTGGCTGTATTAGTTGGTAGAGCTAACATGTGAGTGGCTACGTGCGGTGGTCGAGCTGCAAACTATGGAGGGCACGTTTTCATCAGGCTATCGTTGATGAAGCGTAAAGTTATGAATCCAGCCCCGTCCACGGACACCGTGCCCAGCCTTCTGGATATCCGTTAAAACGTGTCCGACCGAGCAAAGCTCGACCACGGTAACGTCAGCGTCGACCGGGATGCACAGTGTACAGTATTGCAGCGTTTAGTTTCCAGGTAAGAGCAGTAAGGGGGGGGGCTCTCCGTCACCCCACCGAGAAGTCCACCTAACGGCCCCGTACCGTCGCTAATTCGGCACTTCTCCGCTCATTCGTCCTCGCAAGAGGCCATTACTGAGTCCCACTGACCCCTAGCTGGTCAAACCGCGCTCGGTCCTGCGTCTCGGTGCAAAATGTCGATCTGGGGTCTGACAAGACAGACAGGCGAAAAGAGAGTCCATCTTGCTTTGGGGAAAATGAAGTGTAAATCTCACTCCTGTCAAACTCCCACAGCGCAGTTTTCACTGAAACACCTCCTCCCTCCACCACCTCGGTCCTTTCGCTCCTTAAAGAGTTCTCGCCGAGCACTTTTTAGCCCTCGACAGGTCTCTCTCTCTCTCTTTCTCTCCTCCTCGCTCACTCTCACTCTCTCTCTCTCTCTCTCCTCGATCTGTTGGACGGTGTAAAAGTAGCTCGCTAGCTTAGCTAGCTCACTGATGCGAAGCGCTGTAGCTTTGCTGAACGTGTCATTAGCAGAACAGGCAATGGTCTCAGTTAAACCCCCCCAACCCCCCCCCCACTTCAGCCCCGACCACCACTTTACTTCTGTAACTCAACTTTTCGCCAGATTGGCCGTTTTTTTCACGGTCACTCGCTCGTTTCGCTGTGTTTTGTGACCTCGCGCTGAGGAGGGAAGTGCCCGCTTGGTTTCTCTGATGAGAGAGAGAGAGAGAGACATTGAGAGAGAGACATAGAGAGAGAGTGAGAGAGCAGTAGAGCTGCCTTGGCTTGTGTCGTACATATTGTCTCAACGGTTCACATCGTCGGTTTCGCGAGACACAGACTCGAACCGCGACGCGGAGAGTCTCGAAGCCGAAAGAGAAGCAACTCGTGTAAAAGAAGCCCGAAGCAGCCCGGCGGGCACCGTGGCGGAGTCGCTGTGAGCGGCGAAGCTGGTCCGCCTCGCGCCGCACGGTGCCACGAACTGGCACGAATTTCGCCCCGAATAGCTGCGAGTCGCCGTTAAACCAGCGCACGGGTCCTGCTTAGAAGGCGAATACGTCCAAGTTTTCTGTCATGACGGCCTCTTAAAACAGAAACTTACCCCATGAAACCGAGTCGAAACGCCAAGGCCTTCTCATTCCAGCCTCCGTCCACCTTAAACTTACTGACACATCTGAGCAGTTCTCAGTACAGCAGCCCACACCGACACACCAGCCCTCCTCAGGCACTCGGCTGTGTTTTCACCGGATGGCCGCCGCCGTGCTAGCAGCAGCGCAGCACCAAGTCGACAAAAAGTAGAAAGAAATTGGCCGTATCTGTTCAAAACAAGCCCCTGTGCGGCCAAATGATTCTCCACAGCACTACTTTCGATTCACTCGCACAATTTTCTCGGCTTGTTTTTTTTTTTTTCACAGCCCTCCCCCTCTCAGTGTGTTCATGAAGCGCTCCCACTAACTGCTCTCGGGAAGCCTTGAGTGCAGAGAGCACGGAGTGGATGTTCATGGCTCTGCACTGACTGGCCTAGCCACTTACCATCACCATCCACTCGCGCTCTGGCCTTGCAGCCGTGTCATTTAGCCCGAACTTTTTTCGCCTTCCAGTCTGAGAGAAGTGGCTCGGAGAACGACACCACACCAGCCGGAGCCACTCGGCTTTTTCGGCGTCAGAGCACCGAGCCACTATCTGTGTGTTTGTTGTGTGAGACTACTTAATATAGCTTCCTGGGTGCTGTGTCAGAGAATGATCACTGAAGTGTTTGGCGAAATAGAGTCTAACAGGGCAAGTACGCCGCCACTTACCTGAAAACAGGGCACCAGAGTGACTGATCGGCAGAATGTTGCTCTGAGTGTGTCGTTGTCCACCTCTGTCACCCTCCGACAGTGTGTTTCTCTGTTCACTTTTTTTGCAACATGGGCTACTGTACATGGAGTGAGTGAAAATATATATTTTTTCACGATCGGCCAGTCCTGATTGGCTGCGCGCTTGAGAGGCAGCCCGGGACAGCCAATCGGAGAGCGTTTCACATTTCGCCACTGTTCCGAGACGGACAGATTAATGCAACATCTTCTCGATGTTCTGCCTGTGCACTCGCACCACACAGCACAGCAGATTCGGGAAGCAGGGCCGGCCAAAGGTTCGGTTCGGTCCGGTCAGTTCGAAAGGGCAGAGAAAGGGAGCCGCCTTCGACTGAGAGGCAGGAGGCTACACACACAGTGTGACAAGGCTTGCGAGCAACCCCTCACAACACCAGCCAGCCCTTCTCCGAGTGCAAACACACACAGTTAAACACCGCTCTCGCACGATAATAAGAGTCGTGTCGCTCTCTGGGAGACGGGAGTCGAGTCGTTTGAATCTCGGGAGAGCTGGAAAAGGACACGCTGCCTCGCTCCTGTCAGCCCACTCGGTCTCCCCCCGTTCTGTTGCACCGTTTTCCTGTCTCTCTCACTCGTTCCTCATTCCTCGCTGCCCTCTTTATCAAGACTTTTCTGTGCTCTCTTGACAGTCGGCATCTCGTCAGCGACCCCGCACCTCTCTAGATAAGCAAATAACGAATATAAAGCGAGTCACGGGATCAGGGTGACGATGCTAATGATTAGAAGGTCATCTGTTTGGTAGCGCTCTGTACGTAGCTAGTGCTGTTTTGGTTCCTAAGTTGAAGACGGAACACGTTCGTGACTCGTTGTATTCATTCAAAGTACAGCCATTACTCTGTGTGTTGGTACACAGATTCAGGACAGGCTGAGTTGCCAAATCTACGCCCTGCAAACCGCTCTTAAAACCCTCAGCAGATCTGAGGAGGCTAATCCTGTCAAAACCCCCCCAACTTATGCCCTTCTCGTCATTTCTGCCTCTGTCTACTAAAACCCTGGTTTGCTAAAGTGGCTGCAGAGTACTTTGTCATAGACAATTTTCAGTCGAAATTCAGTGTAATTTGGAATTTGAATTAAAGTATAACTTAGCCGTAGCTAGTCTAGCTTTACTGTGTGAAGTCTCATTTGTTGCCATATCCTCTGATCAAGCTAACGACGACCAGTTAATATGTCAATGTGAAGTTGAGCAGTGAAGCACAGCTGGTTGTTCAGCTGAATGCTAACAAATGATCCTCGAAAAGCAATATAAAGTGATAAAAGTGAACAGACTAAGCTTGTGTGTATCCATCCCATGCTAAGTACTGCTGAGTTGCATCACTGAGTGTATTTCCATTGTTTGTTTTGTTAAACCACAAGGTCACGTTTTCTACTCTGACTGATATGCTGTTCCTCATGGACACAGGCCGATGGTATCTGTGATAGCATCTGTGTATTAATGTGCCATTTGGGGTTCTAAAAGGCCAGGAGAACTGTGAATGGCAATGGCAATAAAAAGCATCTTAGCTTCTTCATAAGCATGCACCACTGCCCAAAAATTGCCCTCTACTCTTTTTACTTGGTGATAGGACAGCATGGTAATCAGAAGTGCAGTTGCTTGTATTATTATTATTATTATTATTATTATTATTATTAAGCGCCATCCAGTCTATTTTGACTCGTGGTGACCATGTTGGTAGTGTTTCTCCAGAATATCCAGTCTTATGTTTGGGTCTTTGTAGGCTTTTTAATGGCTTCTTCATCCTCTTTTACAATGAACTTTTCCATGTATATTTGTTTTTTCAATTCATTGGTTGGTCTGTCCAAAATAAGATAGCTTCAGTTTGGTTTTCCGGGCTTCGATTGAGAGGTGAGGCTTGATTTGGATCCATTTTAGTGACTTCGCCATCCAAGGTACACTCTCAGAAAAAGGGCAATAAACCATCACTGGAGTTGTATCCACCCTTAATACGTCATCAGTACTTTTAGTTGGGGAATATAAGTGAACCATAATCCATTGCAATAATATGTTTTTCTTCTTTCGATGTATTGAATCCACACAGCCCGTCTCGTCTCCAGCCTTTTATTTTATTGTTCTGGTTTTAAAGCATTAGGTAATGAAAAGCCTACCTTTGCCCTGGGAAAACCATACAAAGGTGCACACGTTCTCCTTTTCAAGGTACATTTACATTGTTTGTACCTTGATTAAAGAAAAAAGGAACCTCCACAGCACCTTTTTCCTGACAGTATACCCTCAAAAATGCACACACCAAAGTTTAAAGGCATCAGTATTTTTCTTGCTTGCTTTTTGATTGTCCAGCGTGTTGTATGGTGGCAGATTTTTATGGGAAATGTTGTTTATGCATAACTTTGCATTTGCTTTGTGTCTGAAATGAGAACCTAATAGTTATCTAATGTTTTCTACACATAATTATAGTACTTCTTCTCTATCTGTTATAATGTTAACAAATGCATAAACGTAGCACACATTTGTTAATATTATATACCATACATAACTTATTACATCTTATTGTCTACAGTGTCTGGATCAAACATGCAGGTTACTTCATATAAAGCAAAGTAATAACAACCATGTGACCAACAGCTAACCAGAGATATACCACTAAAAGCGAAGTATGAAAATCAATAGCATTTGTGAAAGAAGGTAAATGCTGGAGTTCCTTATAAACAAATGAGTATTTCTTGTGGTTTGTAATATGCTAGGATTCCTAAGCATGCAAACATCTGTGAGTTTGGTTGCCAACAAATTCCTTTAGTGTATTGTGAGAAATTACTAAGATGGCTTAAACACAGCTAGGCCTCACCTCCACTTCCATAACTCAGCGATTCCCCCCAGAAGGTACTTATTGTACCTGTTTGAAGACACGTTCCACTCCTGAAACATTTAATAGATTCAACATTACTTTGTGTGTATGGCATCCAAAGTTAAACGCTGAGCTATATTGGTACGTTTAGCAGTGTTACCTTTTTAAATAGGCCTAATATGAATAGACTGTTAAACTTCCTAAATTGTTAAACAAATAATGGACATTCTAAAAGCTGTTCAGGCAAGACAAATCAAAGATATCATACCTTGTCCAGGTCTGGCTTGTTTAGCTTTTATGAACAAATCTGTATTTCTTGTGCAACAGCTTTGACTTGCATGCAGTTTCATAAAAATGTGTTTTGATTCCATTATAATTGTGCGGACTATTATAACAGTTTTATTCCAGCTAACTTTTGTTATAAATGTTGTGTACATCCCAGTTTACCACAGTTACCACACAACACATTTTATATTATAAAATTGCCTGTATTATGAACATGCATTATCTATGTGCCTAATATATTGTCACTGTCAGAAAAAAAACTTCTAAAATGTTCATTTTTAGAGAAGGAAAAAACTTCTTATCTTGGAATGGCAGTAAATGTAAAAAAAGTAATTTTTGACCGTTTCTGTTGGCCCATTTATCATTTAATTTTCACACGATGTAAAGGTGAGCTGGAGTTTTCAAATTAAGTCAAAAAATGAAAAATGGAAAAATAAGAGATACAAGGTTTTGTTCAGATGTTGACAATATACAGTCATGTGAAGACATAAGTACACCCTATGAACTGTTTTGTTTTTTTGATATCAGTATCTGATCAGTTAAACTGTAAGTATAGATAAATGTTACACAATTGAGTGAAAAACAAAGGAAATTTCACTCTGCAATAATTTATTAAAAAATAAATTAACTGAGTTGTCTTTTTTCTGTTAAAAAAAGTAAGTAAAAGTAAGCTTACCCTTGGCTTTAGTAACTGGTATTGCCCCTTTTGACAGAAACAACTTACCTACAACTGCCGACCAATTTCTGGCATCTAGTCTTTCAACTGTGAAATGTTCGAGAGGCTTCTTGCAGGTACAGCCAATTTCAAATCCCCCATGGCATTTTAAAGGGGTTCTGTTCTGGGCTTTGATTAGGCCATTCCATAACTTTACATTTCTTCCTTTTGTGCCATTCCTTGGTGGATTTACTTGTATGTTTGCCATCATTATCCTGTTTGAAGGCCAACGTCTGCAGCTTCACTTTTGTGGCAGATGGCCACACATTATCCTCAAGCACTCTCTGGTATGAAAGGCTATAAGGAGCCCCAAACCATAACATTTCCACCATCATGCTTTACAGTTAGTATGAGGTTTTGTGATCAAGTGCTGTCTTTGTTTTTCACCAAACATGGCTTCTGGCACTGTAACCAAAGAACTCTATCCTGGCCTGTCCATAGCGCATTGTTTCAGAGGTTCTGGTGCTTGTCTAGATATTGATTAGCAACCTTTAGTCTTGCCCCAATGTTCTTTTTAGACAGCAAAGGCTTCCTCCTGGAGCTGCTCCCATGTAGGTCAAATTTGTGCAGTCTCATTCTAACAGTAGATTCATGCACTTTGACATCTATAGTGCTACCAAGAGATACCAGCAGATCCTGTAATGAAATTTTGAGGTTCTTAAAGACTATATATATACACAGTAAGTAACACTGACGTGGTGGTGGTGTGTTAGTCTGTGTTGCGCTGGTGCGAGTGGATCAGACACAGCAGTGTTGCTGGTGTTTTTATACACTGTGTCCACTCACTGTCCACTCTATTAGACGCTCCTACCTTGTCAGCCCACCTTGTAGATGTAAAGTCAGAGACGATAGCTCAT